AAGAAAAGAGAAATTACTAAAATTAGGTAAATTAATAGTAAAAATAACTTAGTAAATATATATATAAAGAAAACACTAAACTAAGCTTTTTAATTATTAGTTCTAACTAACTACCTCTCTGTCTAGATAGAAGCATCTGTAGACTAGCTAGATTCTGTGCGCAAAGATGCCTTAGACTAACTAGACTAATAACACTTTTATATAAAGCTTATTTCTTTTTATTTTTTTTTATATTATATACACTTATTTTTTTTATTATAAGGATCTGTTACTGCTAGCACTATATAAAAAAAGAAAAGAGCTAGAGGATTATATAGTAAGGCTTAAAAAAAAAGGATAAAAAAAAGAAAAGCTATTTATATAGCATAACTAGCTTATTCTAATGCACAGCATTACTAGGGGCAAGTCCTAATAAATAGAGTAAAGTAAAGGCAGAATATAATTAGATAGACCTACATAGATAGAAGAGAGGTAACACGTATAGAAAGTAACTTTTTAGACAAAAAAAAAGTTACTAGTGTTTATACACAGCAGCAGCATTACAGCCTAGATATAAGTAATTGCGCACAAGCAGGATCACATATCTATGTTATATAATGCTTGTGCGTAAACCTCTGTGCATAAACATCTAGATATCCCCCTTTTTCTCTGTACAGAGGAAAGATAAAAGTAATAGAACTAGAAACATGTTGCCCTTACCTTACCTACCTTATACGCTGTGCACACTGTACACTACTCTTACTCTTGCTACTTAAGTGCTTATACTATAAGCAGCTAGCTGTTGGAGCCTATTTAACAACTAGCTTAATAATTTTTAGTATTTTTACTTTACTATTACTATTTAATTAAGTGTTGTAGGCTACTTAGCATTATTTAAGAAGCTAGCAAGCTTGCAGCATATAAATAAAAGTAATAATGTTAATTAGAACACCTAAAGGGCCTACTTACTACTACTTATTAAAAAAAGCTGCCTTATTATTTAAGTGCTTTTTTATGTTATTAAACACTTTTTAATTTTTACTAAATATAATTTATTAAGCAGTAAAATTAATTATATAGTAGGCGTAATATACGCATTAATAATAGGTGTTAAAGCTGTATTTAATAGCTAGAGTGTTAATAGTAGTGTTATTATTAGTAGCATTATTAAGAATAAAGTAGCCTAAGTTACACATAGATATTTTAAAGCTTTTAAGTGTAGTGTTAATAATAGCAGTAATATTAACACCTATATGCTAGCCTATTAATAAAAGTAGGCCTAATATGTAATTATAAGGCTTACTATTACTATTAAAGTAGTAGATATAAATACTTATTAACACTTATTTACTACTTATTAATGTTTAATTATTAAAAAAAAATATAAATAGCTAATTACATGTTACATAAGTAATTAATAATAGTAAGCATATAGAACTTATACTTAGTAATTATATAAGCTTATAAGGTATTATAGGATCTCTAAAGCTCTGTCTCTACTAACAGGTTAGCCTACTATTACATATTATAAAAAGCTGCGCTTTTAATTATAAAAAGCGCCTAGTTATTAGCTACTACTTAATTAAGTACTAACTATAAAAAAGTTATATATAAAAAGCTTAATATAATAAAATTAGCAACGCCTTATAATACTCTAAAGCCTTTATAATAGATATAGGCAAGTAAAGAGAATTATGTAGAGGATGTTGTTATAACATAGTAAGTAGACTTTTTACTATTCTTATTAATGCTATAGCTAGCTTTACACTCTCTAAAATAGCATGTAATTAATATAGTTAATAAATTAGCTTAATAAAAGCTATTAAGTTACTTATAAGTGTAGTAGTAATAGTAAAGCTAATGTAAGGACAGAGCTCTGTACCACTACGCTAATACAACTAAAAAGGTGCGAATAATCAACTAACAGTTAATTATTGCGTACAGAATAGTATATATACCCGTCGCACGTAAGCACCATCTCGGCCTTACAGCTAATATAAGTGTTATTACTTTTAATGCTAAAGGTAATATCTATATTACTAAACCTAGCTCTTTTAACTGCGCTTTAGTGTGTAGGGTAGCTTATAATAACCTAATAAGTATAGCTAGTTAATGCTGTTATAATTATTATTATTATTATTATTATTATTATTATTATTATTATTATTATTATTATTATTATTATTATTATTATTATTATTATTATTATTATTATTAT